TTCTTCTTACTAATACTCATAGTGAAGATTATGGTGCAAGGAGATTTTGTTGTCGATTTTGTGAACTTTACTGATCGAGAAATTTTAATTTGTCTTTTTTCTGATATTAACTAGCATGTGTCGCATGTTTTTGGTTGTCTTTTTTTGTTAAGTGTAGGTTTGTAGATGAATGCAGCAGCGGCTACAGCTGCGCTGGATGAAGCTAAAAGTCAATGGATTCGTGCCGTAGCGACACTAACCCAAACGTTGGCTGTAATCGGAAATTCACCAAAAGCGGTTACTATACGCTTCCCTAACTGTTCGTATTTGTATATTTGTTGTTCTTCCTTCAAACTGTCATCAGACCAGGCATTTTTTGTCGGTTTATGTAAAATTATATGGATGAAAATTTTTGGGATGTGACGTGTTCATTTCGAGAAGTTTCAGGATTTTTGCCTCAAAAAAATGGACTGAAAAAAAGTTTGTCAGAGTTGAGTTGGTAAGTGTAACTAAAAAATCGTTGTGCCTTATGTAGCAGTGATGGTGATTGTATTGTTGTGATGGTTGTGATGAAATGTGCATTCGGTAGTTTGTCCATTTAAATTTGAATTTTGATTCCAAAGTTATATGTGGTGATTTTTTCAGCTCTTGTTAGCCTTCAAAAAGCTTTACATGCCGGTGCTGTTGTTGGTTTGATGTACGCATCTGGAAATATTGGATCAAATCTAGCAGCTGCTGAAATGAATGCGCGAAAGGAAGGTGTGCAGGTAAGAGAGAGGACTCCATTCCGTCCAGTGGCGACGACTTTAATGGACTTTTAAGACCTTTTTAGTTGTATAGTGTCCTGACGATCGATTCCAAGGATTCCCGGATGATTATCGATAAGGGAATGCAAGCGACTCTAATTCTGCAAGGATAATGGTTAACATTTAAGCCATCAAACGTGCAACCACTCATCGGAAGTATTACAAGTAATTTTTCAGAATTCATTGGAATATTTGCAGATCCGTGAAGAGCCATGTGCGGCAAAAGAATTAATCGTTGTTGCTGGAACACGAAGCGTTAGTGGTTATCCGGCTCCAACGGGTACCATAATCTCCGCATTTAACTCATGCAAAGTACCAGTACCTCTCCTAGCAAGCGGAACATTTATCATGGATTTCTCGGATAGCCATTCATTCGATATCAGTGATGAAGATATAAAGGTAAAATTATTGTCGTTAGTATGTAGCAAAGTTGGTTCCAGTGTTACCTGTCTTACTGTATGTATATAAACACTCATTACGCTACCTTTTGTTTATTTTATTTGCTGGTGGTTTAGTTTATCAAATCAGTTTTATCAGCCTTTAGTTTTCACCAGTCTTTTCTCCTACTTTTCCTTTGAAGCCTCCAGTGAACTTTAATTTCGGAAGGACGTTAGTGACTTAATATTTTAATCGAATGTAACATGAGATATCAAAACATTTCTCTCGTGACCATTTTAAAGAAAAAGTGTGGAGTGGATGACTTAATTAATCATGTATTGATTACGTACACTGAAGCAGTATGCTGTCTTAAAACTGGGTGGGTTGAATCAATCAAATCGAAGGTTTGTTATTTCAGACAAAAATGATGGTTGAATTCGGTTTATTGGGTGGTGGTCGAGTTGGTGTACTTAGCGATTTGAGCAACGATGATGTGTTGGAATTATCCAAAAATTACTGTCTGGTTAAATTTGACTGAAATCAATCGAAATAATATATGTCGTGATTTGTGGTTGAGGGAATTTTTTTTTAGGAGCAGGCATTTATACTGATGTTTTTCTCTTCAAATTTACACTTTCAGTTTGTATGTCTAGATGAAATTCGCTTGAGTTCACATTAGCAACTTTTCCTTGCTGGAAAATTGCAGAGATGGGTTGTTTTTCCTTCTTTTCCGTCTTGGTTTTTATAGTACGATTGTATTATTTTATTCTCTTAAGATTTATTATTTCATCACCCTAATTAATAATTATGTCCGTTTTGACAGAAGTTATGAACCACTGTGTTGGCAACAATGTCATCGTTCTAATTGCCTCTCAGGTCAGAATTTAGATTTCTTATAGAATTATGCCAGAAATCAAATATGCAAATCCTATATATGCCCATCTAATCTGGACATTGATGGCCAAGAATATGCGTATTTTGAATCTCGTCAAAAAGATTTAACATTTTATACTTATTCACTTCTGCCTATTATTGTAAATAGGAAAATAAAAATAAACCAAATATGGTTGGGTTGTCATTTCGGAACATTTTTTTTTAAAATCTATTCCATCACCCAAATAATAATTATTACTTGTTGCCATGGTGTGGATAAAATATGAACAAATAAATTTATATTGTTTCATTCCATTTTAGATTACTTTGTCGTTATTGTTAAAAAAAATTGCAAAAAATTTTACGCTTTGTTTTTGTCCTCTGATTGATTTTCTAACTGAGAAATGTATTTATTTGATCATCAATTTTTGTACTAATTATCATGCAACATATTTAATGAATATGAAGCATAATAAATGCGGAAAATGGTGAGGAAAAAATAAAAATTAGGTAAGGCGAGCAAACAGTGAATAGAGTAAATAATGCATATTGATAATATTATGCTAATTTTGCTTACGAACTTTTTTTTTTTATAATGTACAGCTTAAAATTTATATTTTAGTTGCATGTATTTTAATTCCTGTCCATACTTGTTTGACGTTTATATAGAGTATGTTGTTTGTTTTATCTGTTTTCCCCTTTGCTTTTCCTCTCTCTCCTCCTTTCTCTGTCTCTCTCCTAGTTTTCCGAAATAGATTACATGTATTGATGGATTTCCTTTTTGTTTTTGTCAAATAGTTTAGCAATGAATTTTGTTGGAAGTACATTTATTCCTTCATTAAGATGCCTTGTCTCAATCCCTTATCACTTGTTATCACCGTCTTTATTTTTCTTATCTTCTTCATCTTTCATTTTTCACTTCTGTATTAGTGTCCTTTTTTTTTTTTTACAACATGAAATAGCCTTTTTTACTTTATTCCTTCTATTTTCCCTCATTCTTTCTCCATTTGTGCGTATTTTCTCAGTATGCCTCATGTTTGTTGTTTTTTTTTTCTCATCATTTCTTTTTAATTTCTATGTTTTGCCAACATTTATTGAAGTTTTCAATATATTTAAATGAATTATTTACTTGTGTTTAATGATTTTCTCAATTTCCCGATTCATTTATACGGCAAATGGAGCAGCCAAGTGGTGATATGAGAAATATATTCAGGATATATTCCTAAGAGAGTTTCAGATGACTGAAAGAAATATCATAAAGTATTGATTGACTAAATTTACCACCAACCAACATATTATAACTGATGATACGGATGATTAAAACGATGAAATTGAGGATATTACTGTATATCCTGTAAGAATCATATACCATAATTGCTAATTATGGAAGGGATAAATATCTACGAATAACTTCCGCCTATCATGATAATAACACTCATTTAACCGGTCATTCATTTCTAAAAATTAAAGCTTTTTTTCTTTGTTTCAGATTCGTCCTATTTCAGTTTTTCCATTTTAAGGTGTGGTTTATTATACGTTTTATTTTTTGATTGTAAATTTGTTTCTTTTCCAACATATCACTAATTTTAATACTCGTTTATTTTAAATTAGATGAGATAACTCAAATGACTTTATATTTCTTGTATGTTGATATATGCAGTTAAAAATGCTTCATCAATTCATTTTGTTATCAGAAATTGATGACAATAATTTTAATATTTGTTTTTACATTTTATCAATTATTGAGCAAAAAACAAGGAAGGAAAAGAGATTTGGCTAAGTTTAGATTAAACAAAGTAAATCCAAAATTTCAGAAATTTCAACCAAATCTAGATCATGTTTTAATAAATTAGAGTAACAACGTGTTTCCAAGCTTACATATGATATTCTTTCATATTGCTAAGGAAATATAAACATATGTGAAAATGTCTCGAAGTATAATTAATACTGCTTGAAATTGATTTTGAGAATTTTGCGTATTGTAGATGTACATGATACATGATCCATTCATCCATCTATTAGATCCATTTTGTCGAAAAATTTCTCATCTGATTCTAACAAGATGAAAGAATATAGTTTTGGTTGAATTATTATCGTCGAACTATATTACAGTATCCTTTTGTAGTCAAAGGGTATAAATCATACGAATTACTGAATACGATTGTCGCATTGTTGTAGCAATTTTACTAATAGCTTTGTTTTATTTTTTAATAAGATCGTAATTTAATAAATCGTCCATCATCATCTAAATACTACTTCATGCCTTTAGAGAGGTAAGTGCATTTGCTATTTGTTAATTAATTATTATATTATGATGCTTCCCATACGACAGTAATTGATTAATAAATGACAAAATGAATGTGTCAAAATTAAAAGCATTTTATTCCTGATAAAATCATGGAATCAATCATATCCTTGACAAAAGAAGAAAAAAAGGAAAACCCCAAAAAGGAAGTTGTTAATTAACATATGCATTGCTGAATAATGACTGGAATTAGATAATCGAATAATTAAATTCAATTAATCAATGACAATAGGGATTAATAAAAACTCAGCATTAATCATGCTAATATTACAATGCACATAATGTTCTTTCAATCATAAAAACAATCACAATATTTAAATATCAATCGAAACTTTCAGAGTCACTTATTAGTAATTGAAAATGCTAATATTATATGTATCAACAATCTTAGTAATTAATTAATCAAAAATAATTTTTTTTTAACAAATTATCAAAATGAAAAATCTAGCAAAAAAAAATGAATTATTAGATTTTCATCGTATCACTCTAAAATGATTAGTTGATTGTTGCAAAATTTGAACTTTTTAATTAAAAATTTATTTATGCATGAATTTTATTCATATTAAATGATGAATAGTAGTAATAATGTTAATTTTTAAATAAAAGACATGTACAAAAAGTATGTATAATAAGATAATAAAAGATTTATACATATCAAATTACCATTTTGATTTACATACAAGGAGACATTCTTCGGCTGCATTATTATGATATCTTCTCATTTCTTCCAGTATTTTGATAAGTTCCAAACGATGCTTTTCTTTTTTAGATTGAATTGTGCCTAATGCTTTAAAAACCTACAATAAATCTATAAATAATTTCTTTAAAAAAAAAATTTACATAAAATCATTTTAAATGGTACTAAAATAATAAATCTAAAATTTAATATACATGAAAGAAAAGCAATTATTTTTTATATCAATTTCATTTGATCTAAAAATAGCAATTACATTATGCATTTTAAATTATAGTAATTAAACTATTCATTCTTCACTTCAATTAAATTCTAATTTAAATAACAAAATTAATTATTTTATTCAATTATACTTGAATAATAAAATAATTAGGCATTTTTTTTTTCCATCTAACCTCTTCGGATTGTTCGTTAAATTTTGCAATTGCTTTATTGCAACTTTCTTTTTTTTGCTCCGTTGGGTTATTTGCATATTCATGTTTTGCAAAATCCATTTCTTCACGACGTTTCATTAGTTCTTGACGTTGATTATTCAGTACTAAAATTATTATTAAATCTATACTTTATATTATTTCAATAAATTTTTTTTCCCCATTAATTATTTAATATTAACAATTGCTTGTTCTCTACACGAATTATTCATTGAATAATTATTAAACATTTATATAAATTTGATATTGTTTTAAATATTTCTTACGTTTTTCTTTTTTCTTCCTAACTTTCCTCTTTTCTTTTAGTTGTAATTTCCAAAAACTTTCACTTATCCTATTTGCTAATTAGTGATATTTGAAAATTAATTGTTACTAATACAATGAGTTTAATCATTTCATTTCTGCTAATGGAATGATTAAATTATCATAAATAATAACTTAATTATTTTTCATTGCTAGTTTCAATGTTTTTTTCATTTGACAACAGACACTTTATCAATTAACAGTTAATTATTGCCAATTAATAATAATTAATAATTCATCCATTTGTCAGTCAAATCTTTCTTTCTACGGCTTATTAAATTTTTTTCTCCTTTCAAATAGAATGATATGATAAATGAATATAATTGATATATACTTTAGTAGTAGTAGTAGTAGTGTAGTTTAATTAATAAATTTTTAATTAGATAATACGAATGCATATCTTACACACATAATCGACATTAATAAAAGTTCGAATGTAATGAATAGCTCGACGTCCTCGTTTATGATATGATCGACGAAGCATAGCTAATTTTGTGCATGCATGAATGCAAGCCTAAGTTTATCATTTAACTTATGAAGTTTTAAAATGAAAGGTCAAAAGTTATAAAAATAGAAAAATGGAATATTCTTCTCTTCTCTTCAATTAAAAAGAGGAAATTATTAATGATTAACAAATAATTATTAGGATTAATGTCAAAGTTGAATTAGTGCTTTGTCAATTTATTTTTCTACCTAGAAATTATGAAAATAAACTTTTTTCGTTGATTGTAAATTTTTTTTTTGATAATATGATAATTTCAATAATCATATCAATGATGGAATTGATTTATAGATTTTTTAAATGATTTATAGGTGCAATTATATTTCAATTCTCATTGAAATATTAAATCTACAGAAGTTTTTCACGTAGCATACCTAATAATAAATAAATAAACTTTACCAGTATAATTAAATTCAAAATTTTTTGTTATAGCGCTAATAATATTAATTAAAATTGTCTATGAATCTATTAATTATTTTAGATTATTAAACCTCAAGTGCTGAAATGTGAGCTGAAAAATTTTCCCTCATTGCTTCCAATGATATGCTTAGCAGTTCCATTGGATCTTGATTTGATGGGCATTCAAATTCCATTTTTGATTCTGCTTCAGGAACTAATTTTGGATCCTGTTGCATCACATGCATGATGCTTTCCGCTAGTTTGCATAACATTGCCTAAAATTTTACTTGCAAAATTACAGAAGGTAATACTGAAGGCAATATATGTGGTTTCTAAAAAATAAAAATCCACATCAAACATAGTTAGGTTAAATTATTACAGGTAGATAGTGATGAATTACGATATGAATTAATTATTAAATGGATAATCATTCAAAATTGCTTAAATTAGCATTTGCTAATTTAAATTATGTTGGTATAGAACTAATTAAGAATAATAATTTCAAAATTATTCGCAAAAGTCAAGAATTAGACGAATATTCTTTGAAACAGTAATATTTAATTAATACAGTTAAAGATTAAGTGAAATTATAATGATTAATGAATGCATTACTACATGTTATATCCATCAAATAAAAGGTTATTATATCCATCAGTAAAAAGTTCTCACATTTACCAAGT